TCAAATTTTTGAAAAAATTTAAATTCTATGGGATATGATGCATCAAGAACGCTACCTAAATTTAGGGTATGATCTGCGCCTATCAAAAAAGCTACCACAGATCTATCAAAAACGATACTTTTGCTTTTTTGTCTGTCCGCACACGTGACGTGTGATTGCATAACTGTTTTGAACAACAAAACTGGTAAATATGGTAAATACGGTAATACAGACTCATGGTAAGTTATTCGTATGATTGGCTGGTGTAAATTAATTGTCCGGGTAACTTATTTATACACTTTAGAGTACTTTTTAAGAACATAACGGTTTACTAACAAAAGCTATTTATAATGCTCCGGACTTATATCGGTTCCCGATTCCTAGTAGTAGTTATTTCGTTCTATTTCGCATATCGAAAGAATTTTTTTATGTAATTGATTTGATTAATAATCACGCTTGGATCTAAATAAATTAACCAATCACATGATGTTATAACCCGAGATTTTCCGTAAAAATACGAGTGTCTTCTATGCTTTCATAAACGGATTAATAGTTAAGGCAAGCAATTGACCAATCAAATAAAAGCTTACAATTCAATTTTACCGGAGATCAAGCAAATCAATTCTATTTTACCGGAGATCATGCAATATCACATAAATGATTGGATTAAATTTTATGAAATGTTTATCAATAATTTTAATAATCACCAAATCGAAAAAATCCGCATGGTGTCGGGAGTGATTTTCCACAAATTTCTAAATTGAAATTTATGGTTTCACAACATATCACAATAAATATCTAAATCGGCACAAAAAATTTTTGTTCTGTATACATCTCGAAGTTAGTATTACAATTTTATTTTATAAAAAATTTTATAAAAAATTATAAAATTAATTCATTTTAATGTTACTTAAAGTTCGATATGGGAGATAGCGATGATAATATTGATGAAGGTATTTCTCAAACTAATCAAAATGAACTCGTAATGTACAGTATTTGAAACATATTATTATTTTACTTTTTTAAGTCTTAAAATTAAATATTTAATTCTGACGACCGGATTATCTAATTTTATTTCCTTGTTTTAGGGTTACAAAGAAAGACGTGAACAAGCAAAATCAAACAAACCTCATTATTGCTCGAATAAATGGAACTACTCCATTAATTCGTACTACAAACACTCCAAATATAAACACTTTTGATGGACAATGGCCATCAGTTCTCAATCATTTTAAAAAGAAAAAGGACCAGACTCAACATGATTTGGAATGGGAAGAATTGTTTTTAAGAATTAATCATTCTTTAATGATACATATGAATACTGTAAAAATATCAGAAGAAAAGGAAAGAAAGAAGAAGATTAATGAATTAATCAAAAATGCAATTCCTACATATTACGAAACTAAAAAATGTAATGGAAATGAGTTTTCACGATGGAAGAAATTTCATCAATTAATTGTTTTATTATTCGAAAAATCAGCATTAAAAAAGATTCCAGTTGATTTTGCAATCCAACAATTAAACGGTTTGGGATTAACAGTTAATTATCTGTATTTTGTTAGCGAAGATGCGTTTAAGAAATTTTTAGAACATTTTATGAATTATTGTGTTCAACGTTATGAGAGTTATCAAAACAATACGTTAATTGTAACTTAACAATATACCCGGCCGGCCGACTTTTTTAAAATTTTATATAAAAATTTTATGCAAAAATTTTATAAAAACTCCACCCGGTTATTAAAACGTATAAAATTTTTTTTTACAAGTATCGAAATTTGGCATGGCCGGGTTATGAAACCCTATAAAAACTATTTATATAGAAATATATAGAAAATATATAGTTACAGTTTTGGCGTATTTTCTAAATATTTACTAGATATTTTCTATATATTTTTTATATAAATAAATTAAACCGTTCTGTTTTTGCAACATTTTGGTATATTTTCAATATATTTTCAGTATTTTCGGTATTTACTATATAATTACTGCATAATTATTGTATGATTTTTTTTTATTGGGAAAACCAATTAATTTTGCATAGTGCCTTTTTATTCTTTTATGTAAATGAGTTTGGACCTAACAACTTTTGGATATTAAGGCAATATACTAGAATCAAAGCAAACTAAACGTAAGAAAAAGTAGTCGTTAAATGTGCTCGAGATTTGACCCGTTTGAAGCATATATGATTAATCGAATTCATCAGAAATGATTTAAAAACTAACATTTTTTATTCGCTTAAGAAAAAGATATAAATGTATATTTGAAAGTAAAATATGTTTTGAATAAAATTCAAATTCAAAATTTTTTTACAAATAAAAGTATGAATCCGAACATCTTTATAAACAGTAGTTGTTTTCATATTATCCGGTCGTTAATATAAGTAACAGTAACTTCGATCCATATGTGTTAAGTAAAAATGGGATTACTCAAACTCACTGGTAAGCATATTAATATTCTGTCTTTAACTCAGTCTTGAAAGCGTGAATACCCTTTTGAAATAAAATCGCGATCTATAACTGAATTCAATTAATGCGTTTTTTGTTGTCTGAAAATGTGAAATTGTAAGTTACATTCGCATGTCTCAATGGCAAAAGCTTTGAGCCTGACGGTATAATTTTTTTAATTATTAATTAGGTTTTTGTTAAATTTAGCAGGTTGTGATATCGCAGGTTAATATACGTTTAAAAAAAAAATTAAAATTATTATTAGTTAGGGTTAGTGTTCGATCTAGTATTAGAAGGCATATAAATATGCAAAATTAAGTGTTGAAAACTTTTAATTAGAAGCCTAAGACTAGTTTACATAACGAAATTTCGAGATATTAAAACTTTATTTTTCGTTCATTTTTGTTACACAAGATCCTGTGATCTAATTGGTCGATCATAATTAACCTGCGATATAGCAACCTGCGATATTTAACAATATCCTATTTGTAGTCTCAATTAATAAAACTTAAATAACATATACGAATAACAAAATTGTTCAATATTTAAAGTTTTGATATAACAAAAACTCTCATCAGACATAGTATTATTGAAATTATAACATCAAATTATATATCACATGAGAGTAAATGGAGAAATTCAAATTAAAACGAGCCATCAGATCATAAACATTACGATTAACTTCCATTGTGAACTTTTAAAAGAAATAAAATATTAGTAAATATTTGAATAAATGAAATTATTTAAAGCATAATTATACTTCCATCTACTTTTTTACTTCTTTAAATCGTTAGCATCTAATTGTCGAAAAATATTTTTATATTCTGGAGAAGTAAAAAAAAAAAGAACGGCCAATATAGCTCACGTTCTTGACCGGCCAATATAGCTCACAGTCATAAAGTCTAAAGGAACAATTAATTCAGTTTATGAAATAAAATACATAAACTATAAATAAAATTTTATACTTCTCGAATTTAGTATCGTCGTTATACTTCCATCTACTTTTTCTCAGTCAGATACTTCTTTAAATCGTTAGCATCTAAATTGTCGAAAAATATTTTTATATTCTGGAGAAGTAAAAAAAAAAAAAAAAAGAACGGCCAATATAGCTCACAGTCATAAAGTCTATAGGAACCATTAATCCAGTTTATGAAATAAAATACATAAACTATAAATAAAATTTTATACTTCTCGAATTTAGAATCGTCGTTAGAAACGATGGCAATCCATTTCACATCAAAGCCCATTTCGCGTACGTTGTGAAAGTGTAAATCGACGCTAAGGCGGTTTGTCCAAAATTGGTCTTGGTCATACATATCATATATACCAGATATACCATTTATGCTATATATGCCATATACGGGGGTCGTCTAAAGCCAGGTGTGTTCACGTGACCAACAGCCAATCAAATAATAAATTTTGATTTACCCGGATCAGCCCGACGAGACAAAAACAAAGAAAAAAAGTGAAAAACACAAAAAATAAAGAAAATGAGTGTCTAAACCTACCTCGTGGCACTAATAAAAAATGTCGGGAAGGCAATTTACCTATAAGCCTTGCTCTAACCTTAACCCCTCGCCAACCCTTATCCTAATATTAATTAAATATTAAAAAACATATAAACACACCTGGCTTTAGCCATTCCCCATATGGAAGATATACGAGATATGCCAGATCTGGTAGATATAGTATATCGAGTAGATAGAGTATATCGACCCTATATACAAGATAAAGCAGAAATGTTAGAAAGAATTTGATAGTAACGAAAAATGTATAGAGTTCAAAACGTATCTTAAATAAAAATAACTTTGTGAAATACAAAAAAAACTCATAGAGTTTGAAAACCTTCGAAATCAGAGTAGAAGTATTCGACGTTAGCCCGTGGTACCCTTTTGGTTAAAAATCGTTCGTCGATATAGTATTTTCTTGTCCCTGTGACTATCGTACACCGAATTGTCGTATTTAGTAAAAGAGGAACAGTATTAGTAACACAACCCATTATAATTAAAATCCTGATTAAGTTTGTGATCAGCGTCATTATACCTGATTCATATAGGCTAACTTTCTCGTGATTGGCCAATTTTTTT